GGCGGCCGCGCCGGCCGGGGCGCCCGGGCGCGGGCCGCGCGCCCTGGGCACGCGGGGAACAATGCGGTATAATGAAGTAGGTACATTGTGAGAGCGGCGAGGAGCAGCCGGCGCCGCAGCCGCAGCCGACGCGTCACCGGCGCGCCCTAGCGTATAGCAATAACCTAACTTATATCTAGCCTGAAACAGAAAGCAGAAACACTGATCACTGAGGACGGTTTCGAATCGACACAACGAATGGGTTCGGGAGAGACTCCGAGGCCGCGCTGCCCGCCTCCTGCGTTGCGGGCACTACTCACCGGGCAGTCCGCCAGGCAGGCCGGGTAGGCCGGCGGGCAGGCTGGCTGCCAGCCCGGGTAAACCGGCCGCCAACCCAGGTATCCCGGCCAGCCCGGGTAGCCCCGCCAGGCCGGGCATGGCCATGCCGGGCGCGGCGGGCGGCGCCATCATGCCGGGGGGCAGCGGCGGCTGCAGCGCTCCGGGGTTACCGCCCTGCAACTAGAAATACCAACATACTTTACTGAGGGTGAAGAAGACACGATTGAATGAAACCATGAACAATATCTGAAAAAATTCATTGCCGGATGATTCACAACTGCGAATGTGATGTGTAGTTTGTGAATTTTAGGTACATGTGCTAAAAATATGGGCCTAACAAAAACAGCTGTGTTTAAAATAAGCTTACTCATCAATGAAATATCGCTTAAGAATAATGCAATCAATCCAGTAAGATTTGTTACATTTAAATGTGTGGCAACACTGCCAGACACTGCACTACACATTCTTGTCTTCATTTTAGTATTGGATTGCCCATTTATCAAGGAACGCTTTTATAATAGCCTTTACGGTATAAACAGATTATATGATATATTAAAGATTATTGGTTACCTACATAACATAATATCACATGTTTTATCCCCGACGACCCCCACAGGGTGCACATTACAGTACTTAATGCTATACTGTACAATGAACACCCACTTTTCACAATTTTATGTTATGAGTGCCATGCAATAGGGGGTAAGCCTGTTGCCATAATACCAGGCACATTTTCCATGCTACTACTGACAATTTTTTAAAGGCCTAGTTATACTTTGCCCATCCAGGTATCAAACCCGAGAACCCCATGCTCAGCAATCGCACTTGTAATCACTCGGCCAACAAGGCAGTCATTATCATTAGTTACTACTAGAGATGTACCAACTACCACTTTGACCGACTAGTCGGCTAGGCCGATTGTGAAATGTCGCGAATTGTCAAAGTATACCTTTGCTGTCTTTGCTGCTGTTTAAAACAAAAAGAAATCGATTGCTGCCAGAAAGAGCAGAAGCTTTAGTCTTCTTACATCATAATCTACCAGTAATTAAAACCTAGAAGTAAAGAGAATAGCTATTTTTTATTATAAAAATATGATATTTTGGGTTGTGTCCGGTTAATCATATCCAATCAAAAACATAAATGTGAAATGAGAGCCATTATCATATCTTTCATATTTTTTTATAACATAAGATAATGTATTGTAGGCTAAGGTCTGATTTAGCTAGATTTTATAAACCTACCAATGAATTATTATGTATGATCGCTAGATTCTACCAACAATCTAAATTTTCGGAATAGGGTAGACAACTAATTTTTATTTTAATGTCCGTCTGGTAGATTATTTAAAAACATTAGACACGTATATTTTATTTTCTTACGGAAACGAATAGTTTCGACGACATATTGATTCGAAATGTCGCGTGACGTCACTTCTCAGTACATTTTATACTAAGAAATGACGTTTTAGCCCCCACTCCTAAACTTTGATTCGTTTTATCTAAGTATTGTTTCATTATACGACAAAATAAAAAAATACGTGTCTAATATTTTTTAATTACCTAACTTACGGACTAATTATATTTTTAATTTTCATACCCTGTCATCATCCCCATTATAAAATGAGAACCGACAAATACTTGTAGGTTTAGAACTTGCGAAGGCGGAGAATTCATATATTCATATACACCTAATTGCACGTCATCTCATCTGATTAAAGCCGTATCGGCTGATTGTAGATCTGAGTAAAAAAAAAAAAAAAATTACCTATCTGCATACCAAATTTTAACTCTCTAGGTCATCTGGAACTGGATTAGAATTTTGATCTATAGGTCAGTCAGTCAGTCAATGATAAAAATCAGGATTTTCGGACATTAATATTTAAATACCCGTTTGAGACAAGCTTATAAAATTTGGAACACTTATTCATCTCGTAAGTCTCAATATATAAGCCAAATTTAACAACGCCAAACGCTACCGCATGTCTAGATAAGTTTCTAATTGTTTTTTATTTTCTTGGAATAGTTTGTTTTTAACATATTGATTATTTTTAAATTTATGGTATTTAAAAAATACTTTCTTTTTTATTTGATTAACAATTAATAAATGAATTTACATTGTGCCTGAAATTTAGTATAGGTATTACAAAAAAAAGAGACAAGCAAATTCACATTACAAAGACAATCACATCCCCTGATATAGTACATATTAATGAAAAATACATACAAAGTATATAGCCGACTAGACACTGACTACAACAGCAGTTGAATAGTCGACTTAACCGACTAGTCGGAGAGTAGTGAGCACATCTTTAGTTACTACCACCATACGATCTTGTTATGGTCAATAGTTACTTCATTCTTAAATCAATGGGAACCAAGTAGCATTAAGTGCCATAATGTACACCTGGCAGAGGTGGTACCCCTTCGGACACAAATGGTGTGATATTATGTTATGTATGTGAACCAAATAGCAGGTAAGCCAGAACCATTTGTAATATTATTATACTGTTGAATCTTTTGGTATACTGTGGCATCCCTTGACATACCGTGGCATTCCTTGGTATACCATGACATCCCTTGATATTACAAAGCATACCATGGCATTCTGCTGCAAGCCCAGTAACTCTGCCATGACCACTGCACAAGTTACAAACCTTATTACAGCTAGCTTAGTAAACATAAGTCCTCGACACAAAGCAACTCATTTGTCTCATGGGATATAGTACAACTTTCCGAAAGCTAATTTAAATGGTAATGTTTTCTAGATTGTCAGCAGTGTATATAATATAACTAAATTTGTTATTAACTTTCAAGTAATTACTTATGGGTAGAACATAGAAACAACATGCTTGTTATGGTACTTAGCAAATTATATAGTTAACCTAATTGCAGGTAATGACAAGCTTGTATTCTTATATAATCATAGAAATATTTTGATGGTGTTTATGATTTGTCCAAAACAGTAAATAGTTTAGAAGTTAATTCCGTACAACTACAATTCGATACCTATAGTCTGGAATAATGATGAACATAATATGATGTTTAATACAAAACTAACGAGGGCGAAACCACGGCATGGGCTACTTATTTACAAATAAATTTAGCTTATTTTAAAACCATGAAGAATTCGGGACAAAGTAAAATTAACATTATATTAGCTGTCTATCTGAATAAGCATCACCTATAATTCTCCCTAACCTATTCACTTGCTTTTACTGTGGTGATTTCCGTCCAAAAGACGTAATGAATACAAAAGACAATACACCACTTTTGTAGGTTAGTAACATCCAAATTGATGGTGATATTTGGATCTGTCAAACTGAATAATCGTGAAGTTTACTTACCAATTCCATAATTGTTTACAACGCTTTATTACTAACGTGACTCACAATAAACACTAATTTAAAACAAAACTATATATCCACAAAGTGTGATTCTGATTTCATCAAAAAATAATACCACGCTAAGCTCACAACACCACAGTTAAAACACCACACCGATGCCACACCGGACCCAAGCAAATTATGTTATTACGACCGTTCAGGCACACAACGACGAACAACGACGGATTGAGAATGAGCGCAGAGAGCAGAGAGGCCAGGGAATATGATTCAATAAATGACAGGACATGAGTGAATGAATGAATGATGGCAGCAATGTTGCCAACCTGAAGAAACGAAAAAAAGCAGTTTCCATTGCCAAAATAGATAAACCACCCCAGTTGTAGATGATAATTGGGTACTTGCCCTAATCAAAAAATATTTCGACTGTTCAATACAATAAACAATAATATATGTATTAAAAAATAATCACACGTTCATTAATTGATTTTATGACCAACGTAATTTTAGATTTATTCCCGCAATTTTTTACGAAATAAGTATTCACTTATTTAGCGTCAAACAGCAGTGTTTGACACTAAAAAAAAAATGGTTGCCTGTAAAGTCGTTTTTACGGGCGAAGATTTTACGTGACAACGTCTTTTTCTCGGTAGAATATTTATTGATATGAATATAATTAAATTGCACAATAGGAACAAGGAATTGAATGAACTAGTGCTGCGCGCGCGGCAGACCGATCATAGTTGAGTGGGAGAGAGACGCAAGGCATTCGGCGGGCCTCTCTCTCGTTCGGTGACTCATCGTAACGTTACCGAGCGTTATATTTTTTTATAAGTGACTCCCAGCCGCAACCTAATTTAAGACGTTGTCACGTCAAAACGTGACGTCACAATACACAATCTCGTACAGCGGTTCAATACTCAAACTCATAGAACTGTCTGTCTAATAGTATTGAATTTGACTAGTTGGAAAGGACCCAATAGTATTCTCATCAAAAACGTTGAAGAAAATGGTCTAGCCCTTAAACTTACCGTCCGTCTTATTTCACGAACTGTCAGAGGTTGGAGTGAAACTAGTGGAAGTGGAACTTGCAAACATTATTACAAAACCCGATCTATTTTTAGTACCAGGATTAATACTAGGTTTAAACCATGACTAAGTAAAACGTTATTATAAAACAAAGTTTATCACTAGTTCTGGAACTATCTATGGTCCTAAAGTTAAACCGCCGAGACCCCTAGTTTAACTTCGGTACCTACTAAAGTTATTTGAGGTTAGCTATCAGAAATATTTACGTGTATCTTCTATATTATTATAATTGTAAAATGGATATTGAATCGATTGATGTTATGGATTTAAAAGATTTGGAAGATTTGGAAATGTTAGAGACGTCTCGGCGATCGTACAGACATCGCCATCGTGTAAATCCCTTTGACTTGAGTGACGAAGACTTTCGATATAAGTACAGTTATTGTTCCATTTCCAGTCAGTCACAATAAACAATAATATTTATATACCTAATAAAAAAGACTCAACATTTGTTTCATGATTCGTGCTCTGCCGCCTTCTTATAAGTCGCTTCATTTCACGCTAGAGGTGTTAAAAAATATGACAACTTGGTTATAAAAAGCTTGTCAAAATACAAGTTGTGCTTGTTCACTATATTGTAACACAAACAAAAAACTATTTATGAAATAATTTTGTGTTGACATAATTATTTAAGCATTTCAGACGTTATTGTAATAACAATATTTAGACTAACGGAACGTCGCTTCAACTTCAAGTGGATCCAGATTGAACGAATGAAAGAATGCTATTTATGTTTTTATCTGTGGGACTATGGACTTTCTTTGGTACTACATTACTGATCCTCGAAAACACAGCCTCAACTCAGCCGCTCAACTTCCGTCACAGTCAGGACCAGGACTCACAGGAGTTACAGCACTCTATAATTATGCTCTATAGTCATCAAAATAAAGTGCATGAAGGCTTTATGTGATTATAAACTGCGCAAAATTTTATAAAATTAAAAATCTTTTAGGACATTTGAATCAAAAATAATATAGTCAGATATTTTGCAGGCACATGAAAATTTTATTATTTATTTCCATTTTTAGTACAAAATATAAGTAAGCGCCATCTTTCCACGCAAAATAGAATATCTATAAAAGAAAAGTGAAACGTAACATACAAGTTTACATAACATCATCATCACGCCTTTTATCCCCGAAGGGGTAGGCAGAGGTGCACACACAAGTAACACCCACTTTTCACAATTTACAATCATAGCAATAGCAATAAAAAACAACGTCTAACGTTGTTTTTTAGCCGGGAAATTGAAAAGTAAGTTTTAAGTCTCCGTTAGTTAAGTTGATCAACAATTTACATACTAATAGTAGCAATCGTTTCTGGAGGAATAAAAAAAATACCTCTTTTACTTTCTACACATGATTCCTTAAAACGAGAACATGTTTACACAAGTGATAGTGTTGGTATATTCTCTATGGATACATCGGGCAGTAATATTTATGGACTTATCTAACATTAAACCTGCTGTAGAACATATAGACAAACCAAAAAATACATATAATAGCTAATAACTTAAGATCAATCTGTTCCAAGTCTTTAACTTCATTATATTCAGAATACCATTGTGTATATACAGACGGTTCAAGAAGGGATAATTGTTACGGTGCAGCATTTTTTGATTCACAATTAGTTATATCGGCAACGGTGTCTATTTCGGCCGATACCGAAACCCGAGACCGAAAATTCCTTGCAAGGCTCATATTTTGAGGGAACAATAAAGAAAAGAAGAAAACGTTATTACAATCAGTCAGTCTTTATTGTTTTCTCTTTAAATCACATAGATTTCTCTTTAAATCACATAGATTTCTCTTTAAGTCACATAGTTACTAATATCACAATCACAATAGGTGTAAGAAGTTACTGTTAGACGACGAAAATCAACTAAATGAATGTCACTAGTTTAATCTATGTTATGACTATGTTATGACGATGTCATCTGTCAAATGGGACAGATTAGAAAAGTTTCCCGCGCAAAGTGGAGTGACTCGCGAATCTGGTGGGAAGTTTGAGGAGCATTGCGCTGTGTTCATAAAAGAATCCGTTTATAATAAACTTTTCGATATTTAAGTATTGAGTTTTACTTAAAAGTTTCAGAAGTGGTATAAAACTTACGTGCAGTGATAAGTGATTACATTAGTAAAGTGCAGCAGCAGGATAATTACGAAAGAGGACGTATTTTAAAATTTTGCTTTTTGGGAAAGACCGCTATTTTTGTGCTTGGCCTATGAACAATATAAAACTAATTTTTCGATGATTTTCAAAAACTTTCATCGCTAACGAAGTTTTGTGAATGTGTGTTTTGTTGTGCTTATGAAGGACTACAACTTTTTCTACTCAATGCATGCATGGCTCAAGTGCTTGAAACTTTGGTGATTGGTGAGCTTTTTCCATGTTGAACTTTTATCTATGCTTGAGCTGAAATTGGACTCAAAAAAATGGTTATTTTGTAACAGTAAAGGACTATTAGAACATTAACTAATATCTAAAGAATGCTGCATCTTGTACAGGATTGGTGATTGGTGCTGATTGTGACCTTAGCTAGGTACTTTGCATCTTAAATATAATTAATTTCATTATTTTCATATTGTTATGTGCAAAAGACAGTTGCTTAAGCACATCTAATTATTAATAACATTCTACCAAGTGCTACAGAACACTGATTTTCTAACATTGTTATATTGCTGAAGGATATTGATTAACAAGTGTTAAGACGGTCAGCGGGTAACCTTAGACACAACTGATATTCACTAAGTTTAAATTAATATTTAATAACTATAAGTGTTAGTGTATATTTTTGCTTTAATTGTTGTTAACATGGGTCGCCATAAGAGATCTAGGAGATCCAGAAGCACATCATCCTCAAATTTAAGTTCACATAGCATTGTGAACAAGAAGAAAAGGTACAGGAGAGAATTAAGAAAAAGCAATCAACGTATTGAAGCACTGGAAGGTCTTGTTAAAAACCTGCGGAATAATCAAGATAATCAAGGAGATAGTTCCTTGGAAAATTTAGGATCATTACGGACAATTGTACGGTATGTTGGCAGAAATGATTTCATTCCTGAGTTTGATCCTCAATCATCCACTGTGCCAATTGAACACTGGCTGAGGAATTTAGAAAGCATTTCTAAAATTCATGGCTGGGATGAACCCTCCTTAATATGCAATTGTACATCTAAACTGCGTGGCTATGCCAAAAGTTGGTATGAGAGACAGCCAACATATGAGTTAAGTTGGAGTCAATGGAAAGAAAAACTGATTACATCTTTTCCTTTTACAAAAAATAAGCTTTGCCAAATTAGAGAGCTTGTTAATCGAGTAAAGTTACCCAATGAGAATGTTATTGAATTTTATTACAATAAATTGGGTATAGGCATATCATGTCAACTTACTGACGATGTAATTTGTCAAGCTATTGTAGGCACTCTGGGTAATAAATTATTAGAAGTTGGAGCGTTATCAGCTGGTTGTCATGATACAACTTCATTACTAAAGTATTTAGCAAGTTTCATGAACACAAATGACAATAATGGAAATAAACCTGAGGAAGTTAACAAGCCTAACATAAATAAATCCATTAAATGTTTCAAATGTAATCAAGATGGCCATAAAGCATTTGCTTGTTCTCATTTCAAAAATCAAAAGGACTATTCAAATAAATGTTCTTTCTGTAATAAGTCAGGTCACACAGAGTCAGTATGTTTTAAAAAGAAAAACCAAGATAAGTTTTGTTCTTATTGCAAAATAAAAGGTCATGTGTTGGATGAGTGTCGAAAGCACTCAGCAGCCACACAACATAAAAGTATTAGAAAAGTTCAGCAAGTGAATTTGCATGATTAATAACATCCTAAAAAAAAAAAAACAATTAATTAATGGATACCAAATTGTTTCATTGATTTTGGTAGTTCCTGTGACATAAATGAAACAAGGAAGTTGTAATAAATTTAAGTTAAATATGGATACTGTTAAGACAGCTGTAATCAAAGGAGATAGTGATGCAGTGATCTTACCAAAGGGGTGTAACTACAGTATATTTAACAGAGGATTGAATAAAGAAGTTTTATGTTATTTTTGATGAGGTGTCATCACCTGATGAGGCTGTTCAACTAAATACCAATGAGTGATTGCAAGAGCCTATCTTTTACAGGATAACACAAATGATAAGTCTGATAAGG